ACCATGCCATATTAGGTCTTTTACCTTTTTTCGGCGTGGGATTCCTAATAGTAGACACATGTCTTATTTCCCAAAAACAACTGATTAAGTAGAGAGCTTTATATTTCCCTTTTCTTGTGTTGATCTTTATCTGAACATTCTGCCTCTGATGTGACCTAGTTTGCGTATCTACCTTTTTGTCCCTAAAACAGTAGTGTCCAATTTGCGCCTTTATGCTCTTAAATATCCCTCTTTAAGTGGAGACTTTAGTTTCCCTTTTCATGCTTTATCTTTTTCCTGAAGTGGTGTTTCTTAATAAGATTTATCATGATAGGTGGGTGGGTTGGTTTTTTCTCGTACGACACAGTTCGCTACGTCGAGAAAAGAAAACTGCCATTTTCAAAGGCTCCTGAGGATGATAGGAACTTGCCAGACATGCATCTTGGTCTTTACGACGATGTAATTGTATTTGATCACGTGGAGAAGGTAATACTTTTGTTACCAACCATGTTGTTTGCTTAAACCGTGAAAACTCCAAATTTGGTAACTAAAAAATTGCTCTAATTTTTATAGAAAGCATATGTTATTCACTGGATTAGACTAGATGGAAGCCTTCCCTATGAGAAGGCATACAGTAATGGAATGCAACATTTGGAGAACTTGGTGGCCAAGTTACACGATATTGAGCCGTAAGTATCTCTTTGACTTGATTTAGGTTGCGAGCTTATTTTGGTGATTATCCCCTTAAAAAGGTTGGTTTTCTTTTTTTGACTGTCAATCTCTATAGGCCAAAGCTGGCTGCAGGTAACGTAAATCTTCAGACGCGACAATTCGGGCCAGCGTTGGAAAACTCAAACGTGACATGCGAAGAATACAAAGAGGCCGTGGTGAAGGCTAAAGAACATATACTTGCTGGAGACATATTCCAGATTGTGCTGAGTCAACGTTTTGAACGGCGAACATTTGCAGACCCATTTGAAGTTTATAGAGCACTAAGAGTTGTGAATCCAAGTCCATATATGGGCTATTTGCAGGTTGGTAATGGAGAGAACTTTTCTTGTTCAACTTTGCATTTGGTTCATGTGGATAACCAATAATGTTGTTTTGTCCTGTTATCAGGCTAGAGGATGTATTATGGTAGCATCGAGTCCAGAAATTCTCACCAAAGTAAAGCAGGTTAATTTTCTCTATCTATCTCTCAAGTCGCATTAATACTAGTAGAACGCGATGCGCTATTTCAATGAAGCTTAACTTCTGTCTTATCCTCAATCTTCTAAGCAGAACAAGATAGTTAATCGGCCATTAGCAGGAACCAGCAAGAGAGGGAAGACAGAAGTTGAGGATAAGAGATTAGAGAAAGAGCTGCTCGAGAATGAGAAGCAATGCGCTGAGCACATCATGTTGGTCGATCTTGGTCGCAACGATGTTGGAAAAGTTGCCAAATACGGTTCAGTGAAAGTAGAGAAACTCATGAACATCGAACGATATTCCCATGTTATGCATATAAGCTCCACGGTAAGTGTCAATCAAATAACCATTTTGGATCAAATATCAGTCTCATTTTGGATCAAATATCAGTCTCTTGTTTAGTGTAGGTAACAGGAGAGTTACAAGATGATTTAACTTGCTGGGACACACTACGTGCCGCTCTACCAGTGGGAACAGTTAGTGGTGCACCAAAGGTAAAAGCCATGGAACTAATCGATAAGCTCGAGCCAACACGCCGAGGACCATACAGTGGCGGTTTTGGTGGAGTCTCGTTCACCGGCGACATGGACATTGCTTTATCCCTTAGAACAATTGTTTTCCCAACAGCAAGTCAGTACAATACAATGTACTCTTACAAAGACGCTAACAAACGCCGCGAATGGGTCGCTTATCTCCAAGCTGGAGCAGGTGTAGTAGCTGATAGTGATCCTGAAGACGAACACCGCGAATGCCAAAACAAAGCCGCTGGTCTTGCTCGAGCCATCGACTTGGCTGAATCCGCATTCGTCAAGAAATGAAATGGTCCAAAAACAGAAGCTGTTTTCGAGTTTTCAATCATTTTGTACATTAAACAGTTTACAATCAGATTTTGTAAGATTTTTGCATTTAGACTCCATTAATGAAGCTCTCAAGTTTTAACCACAAGCTTTAACCAATTACACAGATTTGTTATCGTAATCGAAGATCTCGGAATCAGTGACGGATCTCGAGTGTTGAACGATCGATCTTCCGATGGAACTGATCCAGTCTTCTTTCTCTTTCTCCGAATCGGCAATGAAATACATGGTCTCTCCTCTCGTCGTAATCTCGAACGAGTTTTGCTTGTTGAGTACATCTTCCGCTCCTTTGACTGTCAAACACGAACCGACGGGGACGACGCCGCGAGGACGTGAAACGCGCGTGACGTCGGAATCTTTGAACCAGAAGAGTTTCCCTTGTTTCATCACGAACCATCGTCGTCTCCAAGTTTTGATGTACTCTCCTTGTTTCGNTAGCCAACCGGTTCGTTCTGGGTTAGACCAGTACTCGACGCCTCCGTAGTCGTTGGAATTGTTGCTCTGACCTCCGGTTACGGCTCGCCATAAGCTCGCCATGTCCGATTAAACTGGAGAATTTTAGGGTTTTGGATTGTTTTCTTGTAGATCCAATTATCGGCGATGGAAACGAAATCCGAAATCAAGACAGAGAGATTGAAAATCTGCGGAAAATCTGTTTATTCGACTCTTTCGTGTCTTTTTTTATTATCTTCTAGCCCCAAAAATGTTTTGACTTTGCATTTTTTCCCCTATTTTATCATAATTACAAAAACACCCTCTCTTTTGATTTACATATAATAAAGAAAGAAGTTACATATACGAATT